GTTAAGGGTTTTGGACTAGGGTTAGGTCTAGGTGGGTTGGGCTTAGGATAAAAGGTTAATGGGTTTAGGTTAGCTAAAAGGGCTGGGTTCCATGGCCCAATGAATTGGGCCGGTCTAAATTGGTGGGTTGGGTTTGACCCGTTTTCATGCCAATGAATTGGCTGATTTTTGGGTACCACTTCAAACGCTCATAACTTCTTCGATACTCAACGAAATCAAGTTAAACAAAAATGAAAGTTGTAGTACTCGACGAGACAAAGAGATTGACACCTACAAGCTGGACAAATCGCTGTGTTTTGTCCAGAAAACACCTTGAAAGGGGTGGTGCTCATTGGTAAAACTGGATTTTGGCCGAATGTTTGGGCAATTTTCAAAACTTCGTAACTTCTTCATTTCTTAACCAAATTGAGTGATTCAAAAGCCAAAATGTAGTTAGGAATGTGGAGAAGAGATTCATACCAAGTGAGGACCGAGTGGTGACCGGAGTTGCCCAAAAAATGGCCTGAAAGATGGCCAAACGACCACGATTTTGAAGTTTCCAGATTTCTGGAAAATGCCCCTCGAGTTATTTTTCGTGGTAAAACCTTCACCAAAGCCGTTTTAATTACTAACCAAGTAATGTAGACTATGAGGAAGGAAGATCAAAGGAGTCTCGAAGCTTACCTACGTCGGAAAATCCTTGAAAGTCACCGGAGTTCATCGGGGAAGTCAGCACCATGGTTGTCACGGTGGAGGGCCGTGCTTGGCTTGAGGTTCTTGAGGTCTCAAGCCCAGGTGATGGTGGTGATGGTTGTTGTGTGTGTATATGTGTGTTTTTAGAGAAGAGAGGGAAAGCTGTAGAGACAGAGTGCACAAAAGTGATAGGGAAGGGATAAAGAGAAAGTGAAAAGTGAGGGAGAGAGAGAGAAAGTGTTATAAAATAATAAAAGGGATAAGAAAATCCCAAAAGGTGAAGGGGGATATCGGGAATGGGGCGTGTTAAATTAGTATTAGAGCAGGGTTTGTTTCAAAGCATACTTAGGATCTTCGATTTCTGTAGTAGTGTGTCGGTCATGACATCATTTGGATGTCATAACTTCCGGAGTTGTTGTCCTTTGGCACAGTTGTGTAATCCTTATTAGGTTTTGAATAGTCGTATCCTATTGAAGAAGAAGAAAATTCATGTCGAGATTGTGCCTCATCAGTGATGAAATGGATTGTTGGACAACTTTCAACATCGGATCGATACTCTGCAACATGCATTCCCTGGAAATTGCGGGCAAAGTTGAATCTACATAGAAGTTTTTGGGAAACGAAAAAACCTAAGTGGTTTGAATTTGGAACATCTGAATTGGTGATGTCACTCTGCAACATGTGTTTCCCAAGAATGACGGGCAAAGTCATATCTCTTAGATACTACTCGAAACTTTAGAAGTGCATGTTGGAGAAAGCGAGTAAGCGCTAGACGTTTAGTAAGTGGTAGTTGGTGGGATCAAATCAATGTTCTCGGACTTATTCCCACTGAAGAAATTCTTGTGGATCTTTAGAACAAGTCCTTGGCGATTGTTCTATCGATTTCCTTCTTGCTTATTCCAACGACGAAGTCAAGTTCCCCAACCATTAACCGTTAGTTTCACACCAAATTCTTCAAGCATTGACTTCGTTTAAATTAGATAATTTCTTAGGTGACTCCTCGGTAGCAGACTCCATTCTCACCAATTTCCAAACAAAGTTGTGATTCTTATTGTGGTTATAGTTGGACTTGGATGATTAAGATGCAGTTTTATTTGGATAAATAGACTCCTTGAACTTCACCTGGGTTTGGTACTCGGCGGTAAACCCTAGCTCCTTGTCCACGTACTTTTCAGTAGAGGTGAACTTAGCCTCTTACTTGTAGCCCAACTGACCAGTGCTCTTGTCCACTAACAGTTCAGCCTTGTAATTTTCAATGTAATGGCTTGAGATTCCACCATATTCATCATTGTAGGAAGATCGAGCTTTGCTCTGAACTTCTTTAGACTCATTGAGCTTTGGTTTGCTCAAGGGTATCACTTTAAGGTAGACAATCATGCCATTACATGCATGCGCATGCTACTTTGTCTATTTCTTATTCGTCATTCAGTTGATTCAAAGGTTCTATGTTTAATTTTTGATCTTTGAAACAGCTCTCACAAAGTATTTTGAATTACGAAATGTCTTTGGCCTCGTCAAATCTTATTAATAGTTCTTAAGTAATATTGAGTTTAGACCTATTTTCTTTTTTGCTAAGAAACCAGTCAACCATATTGTGATGATTAACCAAAGAATCATAAACAGTGACTTCTATTTTTGCATACTGGATCATGCCAGAACATTACACTGAGGGTGTTAAAAAAAAAACATTTGTTCTCGGCATGGTTTTTGGTTCAAATCCCTATATCTTGTACTCTAGATTTAATGGACTTATTTTGACCCTCAAATTCCTTAGTGTTCTTCAGCCTTCTCGACATGGTTTCTCACTCAATCAGTGAGGAATTCACGATCGATCGATTCGGCGAAAATGTGAGCCCAATTCTTATCGATTCGAACATGAACGTTAGGAGCGTAATCTTCTCACAAGCTTACCATACTTATCAAGAAGAGTTTGATGAATGTTGTAGTGCATGTGGTCAGCCGATTACATCACTATCTTTACGCAAAATTGCATAGTCACCACTCATTAACCTGCTGCAATTCATAAACATCATATCGTACTCTAGTAGTTCTTTTCCAACAATATGTAAATGAGTTCATTTGCCCAAATTTTTGAAGGGTATCTTCCACCCAACCCTAATACATCTTTTATATACCTCTATTGAAACTAAATTCCATCTTGGGTTCTGAGTATGATATCCAAACAAATTATTTAGACCTTGGAAGACTACGATCCGACGTACGAGGCTTTCCCCTACCAGTGATATCGTGTTATTTTTCCTTTGATCAGACATCTATTGTAATAACACTTCTCGATCTTACCTTATGTTGTAATCTGATTTAGAATATGCTCTGAACATGTCATGCATCTTTGTGAATTTATTGTTGATAGTCGAATATTATTTTAAGTATATTAGTATTCGTATGAAATGTATATGTATGTTTCCACATGTTCTTAGAATTTGAATTCATAAATGGCTTGCGTCACCTTCGGGTGTCAACCAGCACGTGACCATCCTAGTGTTCAGAGAATATAAGGATTAGGGCCTGTCACGCACTTTTACAGCCTCAACCCATTTGCTTCCAAATGGATCATCTTTCAAAGTGTCATGTAACATTTGGGCAAACTGAACAAATGTGCACCTTCTTTTGATGCTTGAAACCAAGCAGTAGGCACATCGAATGAAGAATGATCTTTGGATTGTTGGCGTACATGTCGCAGTCCACGTTCAACATAAATGGAGCATTCCGGAGACCCTTGTCTATGTATATAAAACTAATTCAAAAAATTAGTCACTGGTTTAAAATCTTAGATTTTACACTAGCTAATTAAGCCTAAGTACAACAGTAATTTACAAATTTTACAAATGTATTTGAAAAGATAGATGGTAACATTTTCTTAGTCAAGCAAATAATTCTCATCAAAGCGTTTATAGCACCAGCTTTGTAATGATGTGCGTGAATTGGACGCTTCTTCCTGGCTACATAACCAAATGCACCAGACCATGAGAAATTCTCTTTTTGTTCTCCCATATCACCTGTACAAAAATTGATTCAAATAAATGATAGAAAGTTTATTTAGGTTTCACTAATTAAACCTTGAGGAATAGTTGTAGGATGTGAAATGTCGACCACAATATTAGTCGTCAACCAATTGTTTAGCATATATAATCAGAAAATTTGAATAAGAGCTGTTCTTGTCACTTCATAAAAGTCATCACACACACACACACACACACACACACACACAGGGAACTGTTATTAACACTCCAAAAATCTCATTCTACCCTCCTCACAAGTGTATTTTTCTTTCTAATTATAGAAAGTTTGGAGTGCCAAATGAGATTTTAGGAGTGCTAATAACAATTCCCTATATATATATATATATATATTTAACTGTACCAATGAAACTAAATTTAAATTTATTGTGAGGTTTTTTCTTGTAGTATGAATTAAAGAAAAAAAAAACCTTGATTATAGTGGGAAGGTTCCTGCTGTCTATGAGAGCAAAATCCAGTGTCACTAGAAAAATTAAGAGGAGCCAATTTTTGGACAGCATCTTCAATTTTTTGGTAGAGCTTTTTATACTGTTTGGGCCTAAAATAATATTATTGGGCCGAGCTTAGGATTATGCTTGGCCCAGTGTTCTTCGAGAAGTATTATGGGCTGTCGAGCTATCATTAGCCGTCCAATCAGGTCAGCCGAGTCTTATGGTGAGAGTGATTGATTTGGATAAGGACGAAGAAACCGAATCCTGGTACAACAAGGGGTTTCAGTGTTGGAGGTGTTGAGAGTATGGGAATGAATCTGATTCATTATAGAGCTTGGTTCATAAACCTATTGAAACTAGGATTGGCCGAATCCTAGTCATATTAGATTTGGGAGTTTTGGTCTGGGTACATCTCTGGTTCGGTCAGGAGTAGGTTCGCTACTATAAATAAAGAGTCGCATGCAATATTCAAACTCTCTCCAATTCAATACACAAACTGCTATGCGCAAACCCTCGCTCTACGTGAAACCTCTCAACAATCTTGAGATTCATATTTTCTTTTTCCGCCAACACATTTTCAGTTTGGATAAACAGCACTATGAAGGCAACCGACGACACCTTCAATTTGGATAAAGAGCATTGGAGCCGTAGAATCAGCTGACCGAGGAGCACGTTCAGTTTGAATAAACAGCACTACGACCCGACTAGTTATCTAACCAAGTCTTGGTCGAGAAGGATTTCGAATCCTTATTGGCAGAGGACATCTCATTAGCCTTCTCGGTGAAGTGAGATGCGACAGATTACTGGGCTCGGCACATTGAACGCTGAGTTGTTTTATGATTGGATATTCACAAGTAAGTTTTAGAATTCGGCATTCTGACGGCCGAACCACATTTACCATCAAGACATACATCTCATTTGAGTACTTATATCCGTATAATTTGGTGCCAGTTCGGCGTGCTTATACTCTTACGAATATAATCACCGTGACTGCACCCGGTGCCGACGATCTGTGAACTTCGCAAGACCAGTAACCTTGTCTTTAGGCTCTAGAACCCAAAGGCCGAGACGTGTTCCTTCCTCGGCCGCAGTCGCAAGATCAAGAAGTCAGCAATGCGCCCAACGCGACATCAACACATTTTACTCCCTGGCCGAGCTTGGCCGACGAGTTAGCACGCCCTGCACACAATCGAAAGACGTAATTAGCTTATTAATTACTCGACCTGTGCGCCACATAGGCTTGGTAGTTTTTAAGATCAACACATACTCATCCTACAAAATTAAAGATAGATACATCATACATATATACAGATTCAACTAAGCATATACGGCCAAATCCTACCTTCATTTTTTGTCCATTCTTTAAGGAGTCCTCATGGACTATAACTTGACAAAATGGGATTGTCAGAGAAGTATCTGAAATGTGCTCTAACTTGAACAAGGTACTCTTTGCAAAAGGGCACCCAACACTTAGCAAACGCCGAGGCTTCAATGAGAGAATAGAAAGTGAGAGGTGAACACCCATCATCTGATACATACCAAGCTAGCTTGTGAGTCGGATAATCAACGGCTAGAAGAGAGAACACTGTGTTCACAATAATGATGGTGGCTCCAGCTATGTCACAAACAGCTCTTCATTGGGAGTAGGGATGGGCAAATACCCATTGGTTATGGGTAACCGCGGTTACCCGCCCATTTAAATTAAACGGTTACGGTTATGGGTAACCGTTTAGATAAATAAACGGTTATGGGTATAACCGTTTACCTGCGAAATTTAAATGGGCGGTTATGGGTATTAACCACGGTTATAAATGGGTAACCGTTTACCCATTTATTTTATATATGTAAAACTAACACAAACTATATTCTCGATCCAATAATACTTAACACCCAATAAATTAGCAAGGAATTCATCGGTCATTCTCTCAATAACACTACTACAGGAATGATGATTCTCATCATCAAGGAATTGGCCAAATTAATTTAACTTCCTTGTGGGTAACCGTGAAATTGACATAAATGCTTTGATAGAAATGTCTTCTAAACAATTTTTGTAACCCAATAATACTTAGCAAATATTATATTTACCTTCATTGGTAACAAATAAAAATATCGTCCGTAAACTATTATTTCAATTATTGAAATGGTATAAGGACTTAAAAAATTAAAATATGGAAATGTATGATGAATGTACCTATAACGGTGTTAAATTGTCAAAAAAAAAATTATGACAATTTTTTTTTTAATTTTCAAGTTGTTAAAAAACATGTAGATGGGTGAAAAAAGCGTAATGGTAAAAAAAAAAGATAAACGGGTTAAAAAGGATTAATGGGTAAACGGGTATTAAAGGGTTACGGTTAAATGGGTATGCGGTTATGGGTATAGTTAACCATTTATAAACGGTTATGGGTATGGGTATAACCGTTTAGACAATTACCCAACGGGTAAACGGTTATGCGGGTATAAGCATAAACGGTTATGGGTAAATTAACCGCGGTTACCCGCCCGCATAACCATTGCCCATCCCTAATTGGGAGAGATTATTTTTTAAGGCCTCAAAGATTACTCGAGACTCTAAAATGGGTTATATCCACCACTTTTCCAGCCTCAAATAGAGCCACTCATTGAGAATGCTCTAAAAACACCAAAAACAAAGCATACACAACAAAATGAAAGAGTACTGCAAGAGGGGCTTGGGTCTATCCTTGTCCTCATGTGAAGAGGTTCTCTTTTGCAACATTTCACTACATGACAAATTCTTTATGGAATAGTGATTCAGTTTTTAAACACGTGGCAAACATTATTTGGTTTAGAGACGCCACTTAAATTATGAAATGGTTGCAAGAGAAAATATTTCTTCGTGTGGCTCCACCACTAGTCCCAAAGTTAATCACATGGGAATGCTTAATTATATAGTAAACCAGATAAGCATGTGATATCATATATCTTCTAAAGGATGTTTTACCAAGTTGAAAATATAGCATACACTCTACAGAATTAGATACTAAACCCAAGAAAATTTTGGTTTTCGATGGTGAGCGCTAGGGTAGTACTACCACCGTTTATGGTTCAGAAGCATGAGAGTTAGCAACAGTTTCCGCCAATGCGCACTTCAGCAGTTGTAAGCGGTTGATGAGATGTGAGACCCATTTGCATCAACGCCAGACAACTAGTCATAAGTGAGCTTAGGAGCATCACTCTAATTTCTACACAAGGTGTAGAACAGTAGCGTGAAACCAACAGACTTAGATATGGTGGATAGGGGAATTCCATACTTCCCAGTACCAAACAACCCTTTCAAAAATGGCCAGAGGCATAACACCAACCACACACTACTTATAACCTCCAAGGAGCCCGACCCTAGCTCATCTTGATCTTGCGGCCGCAGGCCCAAGAAAGCAGTAGCAAGCGCGGTTAACTGCACCAGCAAAATAGTTGTGGGAGGCACGAAAATTGGAGACTTGTCAAATGTGAATCTGCCAGCTTCAGTGTCTTCAGAGCCTTCATCACTTGAAGTAGATTGATCTTTTCTGGTAACTTCAAAGGCTGTCTCAGATATCCCTAAGAGTTTGAGTATGACACTAATAAATCCAAATAACCAAGCACTCATTACAGTTATTCTTCCCATTCTTTGGTTATTCCACCATGCTCGGATCGATAGACCGGTTTGAAGGTACTCCGATAAAGTGTAAATATGGTAAAGGACGAAGAGAGCTATGGGTATATAGTAGGTTGGTTCTTGGCCCTGCATTACACATTTAGAAATAAAGCGATTAGAAAGAGTAAAAACTCTTGAACAACGATGACTCTAATATCATCAAATTTGTTCACCAAATATTGTAGCAGTGTATATACATATTTTCTTGATATATGAACAATTGAAACATTGCCACCATTTTAGCAAAATAAATTGATAACAACCCGATTAGTAAATATTTTACTTGCATGAACAGTAAAATATTCAAGCGATGTGGTATATATATCACTCACCTTGGGTAAGAAATGTGTGTTGGTGATGATACTATAAGCTGGCAGAGCAGCATAACACAGCTCAGGAATACAACGTAGGCCCCAAGAAAGGACCCAGAAGTAACCCAAGAACATCCTAAATTGGAGATTTCCAAATAGAGTGCCAAATATGGGACAATTTTTACTAAGCAGGATTTCAAGCAAGCCTGTTGCCCATCTCTTCTGCTGGGTCATGGAATCAGGACCACCTGTAGGTGCACATCCTAGAAACGCCGGTGGGTCTGGTGTACAAAAAATAGAATTCCAACCTTTGTTATGGATTGAAAGGCCAGTAAGGATATCTTCTGTTGTTGATCCATACCTCCATCCCACCTTAGCAAGAAAAGGAATTAACAAAGAGAAAAACAAATATGCACAGATAGAGATTGAAAAATGAAATGAAACTCGGAATTGGAAGCGACGCTGCAATTAACCGTAGTAGTACCGACTCCTATCTGAACTTTTTAAATCTCAACTAATGTGACAAAATTTTATTGATACAAAACAATATTTCATCAATGTACCTTTATACCCCAATTGGTGCCATATTCGTACTCACATTCTCCAACTCGGTGTGCAGCCTTAACGGATTTCGAAGACATGTTTACACGTTCTGTATTCCCTTGCAAGGCATCACCAGCTGATTTGGTGAATTCTTCTGAAGTCCCAAAAGTTTTAAGCATTTCTACATTTCCTGCCAAAAAACAGTAAAACTAGGATCGATCATGCATTCATTGAGTTTACACATCAGGTTTAGACATTTAATTTGATTTACCACTACCAATATTAGGGTATCTTTCTCCGGTTTTGGTATCAGTAGGGGATAGACCATAGATAACTTTTCGTCTATGAACACATCCTGTTCCCGCATAAATAGGGCCTTGAATTCCTGCTATTCCATGCCCCACATACTACCATGCATGCATACATGGTAACAGTTATATTATTTAGTTAGCAAATGAAAATCATGTTTATTCTTCATATATAAGCTTTTGATTTATGAACCGTCATAAAATCTGACAAAATTGATTTTTGTGTGTACCTTCCACAAAACTACCATCTGATTCCCGAATGGATCATCCTTGAGTCCGTCATAGAAGATCTGTGGAAACTGAGCAAACGCATTTTTGGTTTCGTTCTCGGATCCGAGCAACGTACACATTGCATGCAACATAATGTTTGGGTTGTTGACAAACATATCGCAGTCTACGTTCAGCATGAAGGGCGCATTGGTCATTAACCCAGAGACTCTAGTCTACAATCAATATATTAGTAATCGATTAATTGATTAACTGGTTAAAATTAAATAATTATTAGATAAACTCATGATACCAAAACATTCATGGCCCCGGCTTTGGAATGATGGGGATGCTTTGGCCGTTTTTCTCTTGATATATAAATCAAATGTGGCGGTCCATCTGAAACATCTTCCTTGTTCTCCCATAGAACCTTCAAATATAAAATCATCTAATCAATCAGTTTTCTACGCTATCTAATTAGTGTTTTAAAATGCACCCGAGCTCTTTTTCGGTTTTTCTTTTTTGTTTTTGGTTGCAAAGGGAATCAAGCCATCTTAATTCTAACTCATTTCACGACCCACCCTCGCAATTGCTTGTTTCAGATTAGTTTTAATTTGGCAAAGGAAAAATAGCTAGGAAATTCGGTCCATCGAAATTCTTACAGTACGACAAAACTGTAGTATACTGCAGGTGAAGGAGTCACGGGAGTGATACAGTTGTAAATGGTCCTAGCTAGGGTATCTTTGTCTAGTTCTTACCAAGGGCGGAGCTAGGATTTCGTCAAAGGTGGGCTGGCAAAAAACATTACCCTAAAACGATGTGATCAAAGTTTTTTTGTCTACAAAAAGTTACATTGATCAACTTGAAAATAAATTTTTTTAATTAATAAACCAAACAATCTATGACTTTCCATTAATTAATTTCCAGCCGACTTTATAAATAAAAGTAAAAGTAAAAAAAGTGGATCATTGACTCATGATATGATCCAATTGGAGTTTTGATCCTTCAAATAATAATTCATTAGTATTGATCCATAAACTTATCACAATGTAGAGCAATGATTCTTTTGTGTTACTCTGTTACAACTTTAGTCTCTTTTTCGTCCTTTAAAACCCTTTATTTGGACCAAAATTAACGATGTTGTTCAAATTAACTATTGCTCTAGTGTGATTAGTTCAAGAACTACTATTCACATATTTTAATTTAGATACCAAAACTCCACTTGGATCAAAATCTAAAAACCAGTACTCTTAACTCCTGTTTCAAAGGAAAATATATAAAATGCAATAAAAGACAATAGATATATCAAATTTATTACTTATGATGCACTACATATATATGATAATAGTGGAACTGGATGGGCTATATATGGTGACAATAGGCTAGAGTAACCTAATTGATGCGCTAATAACCTAACATGGTAGGGATTTTCATAAAACCTACCTAGGCTACAGCCACCATAGCCGTGGGTGTAGCTCCGCCGATGGTTCTTACATCATATAAATAGATATTTTTTGTGTCTGTCTCTGTATTTTTCTGGATAGATATAGTATGTATCACTATATATATATATATATATATATATATATATATATATATATATATTTCATAGTTCATATGCTTTATCTAACATACATTTTTCCAAAAACTGAAAAAGTTGCTTTGAAGAAAAGCCACAGCGCAGAGGATAAAGGAGCAGAAAGTTTCAGAACAATGAGCCGTATATACCTTGATAATTGTTGGGTGATTATTACGTTCTATATTTGAAAAAACTGCAAAGTCTTGGCTAACATCGAATGGAATAGATTTTCCCACCGCATCCTCAATTTTGCGGCTAAGCTGCTCGTACTCATCCTTCAGAACATGAATACAAACAAGTTCATTTGTCATCATCGAGTATATATACATACAATAGACAAAATAACAAAAATAATGTTCTCTTGCCAAACAGTCGAAAGTATAAAATGTTGCTATATTGTGAATATGAACCACTGATCAAGTTAATTTATTGTTTTCCAGAATATGTGGTTTAGATTCACACAGTTGCAACATATGTAAGTATTTTTCTGGTAATATAAATCAAAATTGAAATTATTGGTCACCTTCAATAATGTCCATTCTTGCTTGAATTCACTCGAGTCATTGCTGGAAAATGTGGCATTATTATTTGAGAAGTATCTAAAAGGAGCTCTAACTTGAACATTGTATTTCTTGCAGAATGGAACCCAAAGCATGGCAAACTTTGATGCTTCCGAAAGCGAGTAGAAGGTGAGGGGAGAACAGCCATCATCAGATACATAGCAAGCTAGCTTGTTTGTTGGGTAGTCCACAGCCAACAGAGACAAAACAGTGTTTATGGTAATAATAGGTGGTTCCAACTTCGAGTCTGCAGTTGTCACAAACATGTCCACCGGAGGGAGTTCATGCTTAGAAACCCTAATTATCAACAAAACTACATTATCAACAAAAAGTTCCATAAATAATTAAGCGATACATAAAATGAGATGATGTGTATAGATACCGTTGTAAGAGGCGGTCAGGGTAGGTTTTATATTCGACAATGTTCCATTTGTTGCTTATGGTGATGACCCAATTTAAGGTGAATGAGAGTTCACACAGGAAAGCAATGAGCCAAGCGAAACCATGGTTGTTGAAAGAGAGAAGACGATGAACGAGGAGTGAAAGGAGGAGGAAGAGGATTATGAACTCAATGACTTTATGCAGAGTGTATCTAAGCTCTATTCTTTCGTGTAGAGGGAGTGAGTTTTGGTTAGCCATTGGAAAAACGTGAAGAAAATTTATGTGGCTTGGTTTATGCAAAGTGTAGAGAGGGTGGTCCAGCAGCCTGGCTCAATGTTAATTGGCAGGCATCTCTACATATTTATACTGGTGTAGCTAGTTGGTTTATGACTTCTGCGGGCTGCTTGTTTTCTGATTATGTGGCGTACGATTATTTTCTAATAATATTGTGTTGAAAGCATATCCACAGTTGATGTATATATCTTTATTTATTAATATTATATATTTTGTGTCTATGACATATCAGCTATGTTGCTTATTCAAATTAAAACACGTAAACAGTAATACCACCGAACCCTAAAAAACTGCTCGCGGTTGCGTGGCCGTGGTTATAAAATTTGTCACAAGGCCGCCATATATATTCATTCCAAGAGTTCTTATGGGAGTCCAATTTTTCAAGATAATTTCAAATACTTGATTTCTGTACGTCCTCGGTCTCCATTTCTTCATCTCTACCATATTACTTGATTTTTTGAACCAGATGACTTCTTATCTGATTCATTCTTTGAAGAGCTCAATTCAAAGAGCCAGATCCTCTTTGGATCTAAAAAATATGAGCCTAAGAATCAAATGCTCCGCATCGTTAAAATTTGATCAAACAGCTACAAACAAGAAGCCCCTCTAAAGTCATAATAATTATAGTCATTGGATTACATTTCAATGATCCAAATTATTTGATCCTTAGGATCAAATTTTTTAGATCCGGAGAGGATCTGGGTTTCAATTCAAATATGACCTTTTCTTTCATTGTAATTTTATTCAATATATTTATGTGTATATTATTACCTTCAAACTTTTGGGCAACCGGAGAACATGACGTAAGGACTGATGTATTTTTTTTTGTCGAAAACGTAAGGACTGATGTCTAACTCTTCCAATACGAAAAATCCAAGATTCAAAACCTTTACAGCACACGTCTTTCGTGTTGGTAGTGTGTGGATGGATTCTAAAGAATTCATCTTTTTGCTTCGCCATCAACTTTTAATAAGGAAAAATTAGTATTCGGTCTCTAGTTCATACTGTTCATTGACTAAGACCTTATTAGTTCTCAAATTTTGATTCAAGTCCCTAGCATTAATGTAATAATAAATTTACATGTTTATTATATAATTTTTTAATATAAAAATTAGTAATTAATTTAGGGTTTAATACTCACACCTCTATTAAACTTCTAATTAATTTTCAATTCAAACATTTCCAAAATAATAAAAAATTAAATTAAATTAAGTTTGTACCTATTAGTTTTTTTATATATATAAAAAGATTCTCAATTTTTTAATCTTAAATGTACCCATTCATATAATTTTTCAATTTTTTTAATCTTAAATGTACCCATTCTCAAATATATCAATTTGTTATATGTAAAATGTACCCTTTTTTTTAATATAAAATCCTTTCAAATTTTTTAATCCATATTTAAACTTATATGGGTACATTCTTTTTCGTTGATTTGAGAATGTAGCCATGTTTTGGTACAATAACTTTTTTTGTTAATTTTGGTTAATGTACCCATACATATATGTACACACACACACAATATAATAGAGAGTATAATTTATATTTTATTATTTTTAATCCCATAAATTATGGGTTTTATTTAAAATCTCATTAATATAAACAATTACAAATTTCAATTTTTAATTTTTAATTTAAAGAATATAATAACTTACATTATTACATTAATGTCAGGAACCTCAATCAAAAACTAAAAACTAACAAGGTTTCAATCAAAGAATATTGATAGCTAGGGACCGCATCCTAAATAAAGTGTGACTCACAAGTCTCATATTTTATATTTTCTTTTTATTTTTATGAAAAAATTAGTATAAGATATTAACGTAATTTAATCATGATCTTTCAAATAAAAGAGGATAGAAGAAAAGAAGAAGAAGAAGAAGAAAAAAAAAAAAAAAAAAAAAAAAAAGGCCTTCTCCAACGTTTACTCATGCGAAACTGACAAAATTTACCTCTCAAACAGTTGTCAATACAAATTAGTTCTTTCTTTGAAAGTAGGGACTACCAACTAGGACTAACAAAGGAGGTCCCACCTCTCCTTGTCAAGTGACAGATTGAGATTCTGTTTCATGAGAAGAGATCATCTCCTACCATGATTATCAGATCAAAGTGATTTGAACTTTTCAAATTTTATTCAACGATAAAAAATTATTACAACTTTTAAGAAATCAAATTAGATGAACTATTGGATAAATTTTGAAAAATCCAAATCATTTAATCTGGTAATCTTGTTGAACGAGATCCGGAAAGAACCTCTTCTCCTGTTTCATATTACACCAAAAGGGTGGAGACTGCAAAGTCATTTCTTCTAGAGTCGTTCAAAGGGACAGGTTACGGGAGTGGTCCGTTTCGTGCCAATGGCTCTAAGCAAGCAGGACCAACCATACATGTGTGTGTACATGTATATAAGGTTAATCTCATTTTACTATCATAAGATTTTTTTGTTTTTAACATTTAATACATGAAGGTTTTTTATCTAAAATGGTACATAAAGTCATAATTTTGGAACATTTTTATACATCCGTTAAGTTTATTGTTAAAATCAACCGTTAGGTGGTAACGTTGTGTTCACGTGGACAGTGACTAGGCACCACGTGTAATGAGGGCCCACATAAAAATTAAAAAATAAAATAATAAAATAAAAAAAAAAGTTTCTGGGCGGTTGCGACTCAAATCCCGAAACCCCGAAAGTGTCAGCTCCCAGAAACTGTCACTCACGAGTCCTCCCCCAAACCCACAGCCGCTGCCGACAACCAAGATCCAACAATTTTGCCACCCTCCAACAAAAACTTCAACATCCCACCAATCAAAACCGCCCCACCGAACTCGCAACTCAGTCAACCCTTAGGACGCGTAGCTCAGATCAGCGGTGCTCATGACCATGACCGTCGGAAATCACAGAGGAGCAATACTCAGATTCTTCACCCATTCGCAGCTTTCTTTGACTTCCGAGCCCAACGCATTGCTCAATTCTGAATTTATCACAACTCAATTCAACAAAATTGGAAATTGATTAAAAAAATGGAAATTGAAAGATGGAAGATGGAAATTGATTCAAAAGGTTAGTCTTTTATTATAGATGAACTCCACTTGATTGGCTGTCAGGGTTGTTCCATCTTGGAGGCAAATACAAGGGATCTTGGAGAATGGATATGGCTAGCTTTCATGGCCTTTTCAATTTTCCCCCTGCTGTGCCCGGTGCCCCTGGAATTACGCATTCTATTGAATTTTGATGTATATTTGCTTAATGAAACAATTACAAGATGAAACATATATATAGGGAAGAAAAAGATCATAAGCCTAATTTTGCCTAACTTACCTATCTTGCTTGACTAACCTAACTTGCCTAACTTTGAACAAGAAAGTTGACTAGCCTAATTGTCACTAGTCATCCAACACCATTATTCCACATTTTATTTCATGCATTTTAAACTCCCCCTCTCGATGACACCCAACTTGCAAATTGTGCCGAGTAGTGGTTTGGTGAACAAGTCTGCAGGTTGATTCGAGGTCCGTATGTAAGCTGTTTGCACCATTCCCATTTGAATCTTCTCACGTACTAGGTGACAGTCTATCTCTATATGCTTCGTTCGTTCATGAAACACTGGGTTCGAAGCAATGTGCATGGCAGCTTGATTATCACAAAACATTGTGACTGGTTGTGCATGATTTACTTGCAAGTCCTTCAAAATGTTTCTTAGCCATATAACTTCACAACAAGTAGTAGCCATAGAACGGTATTCTGCCTCTCTGCACTAGAACGAGATATTGTGCTTTTCTTCGTTTTCCAAGATATCGGTGCTTGTCCAAGGAAGATACAATAACCGGTTATTGACCTTCTAGTGTCTTTACACCGAGCCCAATCAGCATCACAAAAGGCTTGTAATTGTAGTGAACCTGTAGAAGGCAAAAAAATTCCTGTCCAGGAGATTGTTTGATGTACCTGAGAACCTATGCACTGCTTCAAGGTGTGGTTGTCGTGGCTTGTCCATGAATTGGCTCAACATATTAACCACATAAGTCAGGTCAGGCCGCGTGATGGTTAAGTAAATCAGCCTCCCTACGAGTCGCCTGTATGAAGAAGGATCATGTAGGAGCGTCCCATCAGTTTGTGTAAGGGACAAGTTTGGTTCCATTGGTAATCGTGAGGGCTTCGCACCAAGGAACCCAGCATCTTCTAGTATCTCCAACGCATATTTGCGTTGGCACAAGGCAATCCCTTGTTTAGATCTTGCAACTTCTATCCCCAAAAAGTATTTTGATTTCCAAAATAGTTTAGTTTGGGAAAGGAAGAGTTTAGTCTCTTCAATTTCTCTAAATTGTTACCTGCAAGTATCACGTCATACACAAGTAACATAAAAACTGCCTTGACGGTTTCGGACGAATAATGAGTAATCTGACCATGATTGATGAAAACCAGCAGTCTTGAGAGCACTAGACAGCTTGATAAACCATTGTCTCGAGGCCTATTTTAAACCATAAATGGATTTGTGTAATTTGCATACTCGTGTCTCCCCCATTCGTCCGAACCTAGGAGGCAGGGACATATAAACCTCCTCGTATAAGTCACCAAGGCGTTGTTCACATCAAGTTGATGAAGATGCCAGCCTCGTATGGAGGCAATACTCAGGAGGACGCGGACGGTGGTGAGCTTGGCAACTGGAGCAAAAGTTTCCCGATAATCAAGCCCCTCAATTTGACTGTAGCCTTTAGCAACGAGACGAGCTTTGTAGCGTTCAACACTGCCGTCAGGTTTAAGCTTCACCTTATAGATCCATTTGCAACTGATGGGATGTTTGTGAGGTGGTAAGGGCACAAGAGTCCAAGTGCGATTGTCATGAAGGGCAACAATCTCTTTTTGCATGGCGTCACGCCATTTTGGATCCTGAACAGCTTGCGAAAAACTGGTGGGTTCTTTAATAATGGTGAGGGTGGTGAGAAAGGTTTGGTGAGTGGGGGATACATGGTCATAAGATAAATAACGAGATATGGGGTGAGATGTACCTGATGACTGGACCATGTGGAAGATGTGGGAGCAACACGGGAAGGGAGGGCCACCTAACATGAAAGTCCTGCAAAAATGTGGAAGTTTTGGTCGGTCGAGTGCTACGACGGAGTGGAGGTGGTTGGTCTGGTGATGGAGTTGGAGGTGGGGAAGAGTGTAGGGTATGTGAAGGTGTTGATAAGGTATCTGGTGGTGGAGTTGTAGTAGGTAAAGGAGATGAGTGAGTGTGTGTGCAAGTGTGGGAGAGGTGATGTTTATTTCTTCGGGTGCAAGGCTTGAGTGCGACTCAATGGGAAGGGTCAAGTCAAACGTGTGGGTAAGGGTGTAATGTTTGATGGAGACGGGGCAGCGGAAGTGGTATGATTTTGGAATGGAAAATGATCTTAAAAAAAAACTACATCCCTAGAAACAAAAGTCTTATTGTGTTTTATATCAAACAATTTATAACCCTTTTGACCATAAGGATACCCAAGAAAAATGCATTGGATTGCACGGGGGTCGAATTTAGAGGGCCTTTGGGCGTGTGTAGAAGCAAAACATAAACTACCAAAAACCTTTAAATGGGAATAGGTAGGTGCTTTGTGAAACAGTTTTTCGTAAGGTGTTTTACCTTGGAGAAGTGGAGTGGGTGTTCTATTGATGAGGTAGGCTGAGGTTAAGATTGCATCCCCCCAAAAACGTTTTGGCAAACAAGCTTGAAAGAGCAAAGCCCGAGCAACATTGAGCAAATGCCGGTGTTTACGTTCGGCAACACCATTTTGTTGTGGTGTGTTGACACAACTAGATTGATGTATGATGCCTTTGAGAGCATAAAATTGCTCAAGCTTAAACTCAGGGCCATTGTCACTTCGTATGATTTGAACTCTGGTATTGAATTGAGTCTCAATCATTTGAATGAATCCGACTAAAATGTCTTTTGTGTCAGATTTATGTTTCATCAAATAAACCCAAGTGCTTCTAGTGTAGTCATCTACGATGGTAAGGAAATACTTGGCACCTGAAATAGAAGCAACTTGATAACCACCCCAAATATCAATATGCAATAATTCAAAACATGATTTGGTAGAAATAGAGCTCAAAGGAAAGGGTGATCTTGTTTGTTTGGCTAATGGGAAAATTAAACATTTTTCCAAATCACAAGCCTTATTGTTAAATAAAGGTAATAACGAAATGACTTTATGAGATGGGTGTCCTAGGCGTTGGTGCCAAAGCTTTGGTGAGACGGTTTGAATATTGTTGCATGTTCCTTTCTTTGATGGGTCGAGGTAGTAAAGTCCATCCCTTTCAGTTCCTGTCCCAATCATCTTCCCCGAGCGAAGGTCCTGAATGACACAAAATTGGGTGAAGAAAATGGTGACATATAAGGAATCATAGGCTAGTTTACTGATAGATATTAAATTCAACCTAAAGAATGGCACACATAGGACATTTTCAAGGATAAGATTATGAGAGAAAACAACTTGTCAAATGTGAGTGACTTTGGCAACGGAACCATTTGGCAGTTCAACTGTATGATTTTCAACAGCTCGTGAGTGTGTAAGGAGACTAGGACTGCAAACTATGTGATCCGTGGCACCACTGTCCAGGATCCAAATACTTTTGGTTCATTTACATGAAAAAGAGAAGGCTTTACCTGAAAGTTCTTCATGACTAGGAAGATTACTGACTTGATTGGCAAATGATGATTTGTTCTTGTTCAACATCTGAAGGATTTGCTTGCAGTCCTCCTGAGAGAACGGGAAATTAGGCACTGTCTCTTGCTTGTTACTTTGTGAAACTTGATTCCCCTTTGAAGAAAAGAGACGATTGGATTCGGTCTCTGTGGCTGCTTTCCGTTTTCGACAGAAATCGAAGGTGTGGCCTTTCCATCCGCAAAAAGTGCACTTGAGATGTGCACGACAATTTTTTGTGATGTGATTGGTTTTATTGCACTTTCCACATCGCATCTCCTTGTCTTCAGGTGTAGGTTCTCACGACAGATTCTTCACTGCAAAGACAGCAGTTTCTAGTTGTGTGCTTTTCCCATTGGAAACCTCTGCCTGGCGTTCATGTCGAAGGACCAACGCATATGCCTTGTTCACCGTAGGCAGTGGTTCGAGAAGAGAAGAGTATTGCTTCGAACCGTAGCATACGATTCGTTCAGTCCCATAAGGAACTTCATGGTTTTCTGAGTTTCAACATATGAGTTCATCTTATTCTTTGTTCCACAACTGCATGCTGGAATGGAACACAAAGTATCACGTTCATCCCATAAACTTTTAAGTTTAGTGAAGTAAGAACTTACACTCATATTGCTTTGGACGCAATCATGGATCTCGTTCTCAACATGGAACAGCTGAACTATATTCACATGTGAGAACCTTTCCTGCAGATCGGTCCACATTTGTCGAGCATCCTTGTAGTTGATGACACTCCCTGAAATCTCCTTTGACATGGAGCCTAGTAGCCATGTCTTGACCAAGTTGTTGCAGCGATTCCATTGCTATAGCTCCTCAAAATTATCCTCACTTGGTTTGTTGATCGTTCTATCAACAAAACCAAGTTTGTTCTTGACCGTTAAGGCCATACTTATGGATTGAACCCATGTGTTGTAGTTGTCTTCCACCAATGGTTGTGGTACGAGGATTGCACCAGGTTGATCCGAGTGGTGGAGATAAAGCGGGTGGTTGGGATTTTCCCATTTTGAATGAGAGGCCATGCCTAGAATGGTTGACCTCGTGGCTGCTTTAGAGCTGTGTTTTGTGTTTTTTCCCAGATCACAACTCTGATACCATATTGAATTTTGATGTATATTTGCTTAATGAAACAATTACAAGATGAAACATATATATAGGGAAGAAAAAGATCATAAGCCTAATTTTGCCTAACTTACCTATCTTGCTTGACTAACCTAACTTGCCTAACTTTGAACAAGAAAGTTGACTAACCTAATTTCACTAGTCATCCAACACCATTATTCCAACATGTTTATTTCATGCATTTTAACACATTCAGAGGGTGGATTTGGCTAACTTCGAAGCCAGGATGCAAGCAAGGGCAAACCCACATACACTGCAATTGACGGCGATGAAATCCGCCAGGAGGATTATGAATTAGCGTATTTCGACGGTGAAGAAGAACTGAACGTTGGCTTGGAGGGTGAGGTCGAGTTCGGAGCTGGTGCAGAGGACGAGGTTGGTGAAATCTAGGGCTTGGAGCTTGCGGACGATGATGGAGCCAACGATGCCGTTGTTGCAGCGTGAAATGGTGAAAGAGAGAGAATACATGAAGGGCAGAGAGAGAGGGTAAGGAAGAGAGAGAATTAGTGGGTATACAACCCTGAAGTGTGTGCCGGTTGCAGAGGGAAGAAGGAAGGGAGTTGGGGGAGGTAGAAGACGGATGGTTTTTTTTTTTTTTTTTTTTTTTGTTAAATATTGAAGTGGATCCATATTGACAAGTGACGCTAAGTTATTGTCTACGTGGACGCCATGCTATCAATTAACATAAGTTTTAACGGAAAACTTAACGAATGTATGAAACTGTCTCAAAATTAAAACTTGAGGTATGATTATGGGACAAAAAAAATTTAATGTACCAAATGTTGAAAATCACAACACTTCAAGGTATTAAACTAAGATTAACCTCTCTCTATATATATTTTTTCATTGCCCAAAAAAAAACTAATGAAAAGGGATTGAAAATTTTAAATTTTAATGATAAGGACAAAATAAAAAGTAAAGAGAATAGTACTATAATTGACTTTTTAGTGTAAAAATGTAATTTTTCGTTAAAATGAATAGTACCGAGAATTTTTTGTTACCTTTCCAAAAAAAAAACCATATATTTTTTTTTGCTAAAACCATATTGGAATCGCAAAGTAAAACCGTAAACTCCGAAAATCGGAATTTTTTCTACACAACTTTAAATGGCTAAGACACAAATATATAGCTAATTAGAAATTCAAGAAATTATCAGTTTCCCTAATTCTATTTTACTTCAATCATACTGTAGGCCGGAATTTTCAGAATTCCGGCATCCACCATTGTTTTCCTCACAGCTGCAGCAAGATCCCATCTCTCCTTCCCAGCATTAATGTTTGACAAAACCACGTATCGTCCACAGTGTTGTGGCTGCAACTCGAGAAGTTTCTCACCAACTTCATTTCCCAGCTCAGCAGTCCCATGAATCTTACAAGAACCTAAAAGAGCCCCCAATACAGAGGCATCAGGCTCGAAAGGCATGCTTTTAATAACTTCAGTTGCCTCCCAAAACAGCCCCGCTCTGCCCAAGAGGTCAACCACACACCCGTAGTGTTCCATTATCGGCTCAACCCCGAAATCATTTGTCATCGATCTAAACAATTCCAAACCAAACTTCACCAGTTTTCCACGAGCACATGCTGTAAGAACTGCGACAAATGTAACCTCATTAGGCTGCAACCTCTCCATCTTCATGTTTTCAAACAAGTCCAAAGCCTCCTTCTCTTTACCATTCAAAGAAAGTGCAGAAATCATCGCATTCCAAGTACAAACTTCTTTAACTACCACTTGCTGGTACATGTACCCAGCGCTGTTCAAACAGCCAGTCTTCCCGTAAAGATCCACCAATGCAGTCCCTAAAAACGCAGTCAATTCAATCCCATTTCTAATAACATGCCCATGTATTTGCTTCCCCCAATAAATAGATCCCCACCCACCCAAATTAGCACAGGAAGAAAGCACACTAACATAAGTAGCTTCATTTGGCTTCACAAAACAACCCATCACATTCTCATGATTCATCATTATCTGAAAAAATCGAATTCCCTCGCTAAAACACCCATTTCTCCCAAACCCGTTTATAACGCTTGTCCATGAAACCACGTCCCTTTCCGGCATGCTTTCAAATAGCAAAACAGCAGAACCCATATCCCCATTCCTCCCAAACCCATCAATCATCGCATTGCACGCAACCACACATGGTTCAGACATTTCCTCAAACACCTTACGCGCATCGCACAATTTACCAAGCTCGGCATAGAAGCTCACAAACGAGGTCTGTATAAAAGGGTCGCGCAAAACGCCGCGTTTTACGACTTGGGTATGAAGCGGAGAGCCCAGACGGGGCGATGAGGAGGAGGAAGAGGTGGCTGCGGCGGCTTTGATAAGCGGAGGGAATGTGTGGCTGTTGGGAGGGGCTTGGTGGGCAAGCATGTGGATGAAGAGAAGGAGGGTCTTGCGGGGTTGGCCGAAACCGAGATGGGCTCTGATCAAAGTGTTGTAGAGGAGGGTTGGCATCCATTTGGAAGCGGAGGGTTTAGGGTGTTGGTTGTGGAGGAGATGACCGTTGGTGAATAGGCGGGAATGGATCTGTTTGATTTGGTTAGGGTGCTTGAGGAAGCATTGGAGGAGTTGAAGTAGAGACTCGGGTGATGAGTGTGGCATAACACCAATTCATGTGTATCAAAAATTGTGCTTGCTATTTTATCATATTTGTTTTAAAACTAATTATAAAACTGTGTGAGAGGGAGAAAGGAAAGGTGAGAGAGAAACGCTCAGGCGTATGAGAATTGTGTCCTCACACTTTTAGTCTTATATCTTTATTTATGCAAATCATGATGAGTTTTCTTGCCTTAAAAGTAGTACGAAGTGCATGAATAATGATCACATTCCTAATTATTTATTCAATTCATAACAATTTTGATTGTCACAATTTTTCTTTTGTTTGCTAAACAAATTGCATAAGAGAGAATAGAACTTGGAATCTAAAGTGTATGACTAAATATAGTTAACACTAAAAGGTCCAAATCAAAATTGACATTCAAAAGAGACAGTAATTGCACTTGTTAATTTGAAAAGTCAATTCTAATTGGCGTGAATTGACAACCATTACCTTTGCTGCCAAAATTGACAACAACTTCAAATCATTTTCTAATTGATTATTAAATGGTTTTTATTGTTTATTATTATTTTTGTTCTAAAATGATTCATTATAATATAACAATAGTTTAATTTGATATATCGAATAGAAAGCAAAACATTAAAATATGTCAAAGTGTCGCATTCGTAGTCTTATCCAAATTTTATACTTAAAATTCAACATCTCCATTGAAAATTCTTTATCTTTTTTGTTTTCTTCCCTTGTTTTTATATTGAAAGCTGATGTACGATGACTATTTTAAAATGTCAATAACATCTCTCTTCAGCTCCCTTCCCTTTCCTCTTTTTCTTCGTTTGTCATGGGCCAAAAAAATTCTGCTCTTGGGTTAGTCAAATAATCAGCTCGGCCCAAATAACATTGCAAACGATGAAATGACCCCGTGAACGTGTTTTACGCCGTCCTTCCTCCGACAGTTAAGAATATTCCATCGATTAAAATATGCCACGGCATTTTCACTTAACGACCCAAAATGCTAACAACTCTCGCTGCTTCTGGTACTGGTAGTGGTCTGCGATCAGCAGCTTCCCGAGCCTTCTTCTTCTCCAAGGCCCTCCCAAACTCCACTGCCACTTCCTTCTCACCCATCCGGACTCTCTCCCCCTCCGCCCTTTCTCGCTTCTCAGTTCGCGCCATGGCCGCCAGCTCTGCTGCCCCCCTTCAACAAAATCCAAATCCAAAGAGACGACACCCTGAGTATCCGTTCTTTTGTACTCTTTCCATATTTTTTTACTGTTAAATTTCGTTGGACTTTGTGCACTTTTTTTATTTGACAATGGGAAATGCGGTAAAAAAAAAAATTGGATCCCATCCAGATTCATTTTGTGGAGATCCTCATATTTTAATCGTGTATCGTACGGTTAGAAATTATTTGATTTTTTTTATTTAAAATTAAACACAAATAGTATCTAACGAAAACTGACCGCACGATGCACGATGAACGATTAAGTCGTAGGAATTCCTAAAATCCTCACAAAGTGGATCCCTTTCCGGAAAAAAGCACCCCATCAACTATAGGTACTGGGTACAAACATTCGGATCAGGATTCTCTCTTGATTCTTAAAAACTGAGTTTGATGAGCAGGCAATCGTGACCGTTGAAATTTGATCCAACGGCTACAAACAGGGGGGTCAAGAGAGGATCTAATCCCAAACATTCCAAGTGCTTGATTGGTAAAAGAAAAACTCATCATCTATCCATATTTTATGCTTTAATTGATTCGTAGTTTTGAAATTTTTTTGGTGTCCTTCTTTTGTAACAAAGTCGGGTTTTTTTTCTTAATTATTGAGTTTGAAAGTGTTTTTATCTAAAATATAATGTAATGTTATCAAGACGTATGTGAAAATTCCTTACATATATGCATGTATTAGGGAGGAATCGAGATTGCTTTGTGTCAAATTTTCGGATATCTATGTGTTGGAGTAATTGAAACATATCCGTCTATCGGAATATGCGTTTTCCAGTGGATTTCTTTTTTATTATCTTGAATAAACAAACCTTATGCGCAGAGTTGGATTTAGGGGTGGTTTGGGAGTGAGGTGCTTAAAAAAAAGCACCCATGAAAAAAAGTTATGAGGGTTTTAGGTGTTTGGTAAACTGAAAAAAAAAAAGGGCTTATTTTGGAAGCTGCTGTGAGAATAAGCTGAAATCAAAGGAAAAAACTGAAGCTGCTATTTGTAGCTTTGGAAAACTAGCTTTTTTTCAAAGCACACGGAGCTACATTGCTCCTTTAATGAAAAGACCCACTATCAGACTGCTTTTTTTTTTTTTCCAAAAGCACTTTTACAAAAAAGTTTACCAAACACTCTCTGATTTATTTCACAGCCGCTTATTCTCACAGCGCAGCCGCTTATTCTCACAGCAGTTTTTTTTCAAAGCACATCAATACCAAACCAGCCCTTAGTCAAATTGGTTAGAAGAGCGTCCTGTTCAAGTTCGAATTTTCATTTTAGATTAGATTAATTTAGTGTCAACAATCTATTGAATAAAAAAAAAACGAACTTTATGCAAATGGTTGGAAGTAACTCTTACTGAACCTTATTTCTAATTTGTTCTTCTTTGATCATAATGACCAGACATTTGATGCATATGGTGTTGGCAATGATGGTGCTCCTGGGATTGCTGTGCTTCAAGAGTGGTGGGGTGTTGATTTTGAAATTAAGAACCATGCTGTCAAGATTTCTCAACTTGCTCCTGGATTCAAAGCACTTATCCCTGAGTAAATTCGCTGAGCTTACGTTAAGCCTTGCTAATATTGTGTGTGTTGTTGATTTATTTGCTGCATCTCAATGCTAAGTATCTTCTTGCTTCTTTTTCTAGCTTGTATCGTGGGAAGGTTGGTTTAGACGTTGCAGAAGTGCAACATTTAATGTTTTAAGGTCTTGATTGGCAAGGCGCTGTAAAGGATATCCAAGCTTCTGTTAATTGGCTGAAAGCAAATGGCTCGAAGAAGGTGTGGCACGGTTTACTTCTAGACTTCTAGTTTAATTTTATCACAATTGTCTTAATATCTATGATTTGGGGCTGGTCTGGTCTGAGGGTGTATATGTGTTACGGAAATATGAAACAACGAAGATGGAAAATACATGTATACAAATTTTTTAAGCAATCACTTTCTATCGGTTAACAAACAACGAACATACATTACATAATCTCTCAGCTATGTCAATGATGGGTTGCCATTTTCGTATGATTTCTTTTAAGACATAACCTTAGTATGCGGTAAGTTTTATGCCTAGTTTGTACTGTAAGAGAAATCACCACAGAACAGTTGGGCCACTGTATTTCTCCTTGAACATTTAGGTAAAATTAGTCGGTACTAAATTTCAACTTGACCTTTCTGTTTCTACATATATAGAAACTGTTTTGACTCAATGCGGTTCTTACTAACATGCCATGATCCACAAAATATGGTAAGATTCTGCCATGTTTCTTAAATCAGTCCTCCATCGTGTGTGTAAAATTTATAGTGATATCAATCAGTTACGATATGAATTTTAGAAAGCAAACTCATTTGTTAAATTAACCTATTGTTTAATCAAAATAGGTGGGTGTTGCTGGATTTTGCATGGGTGGTGCTCTCTCAATTGCAAGTTCTGTTTTGCTCCCTGACGGTGATGCTGTTGTTGCGTTTTATAGAGTGCCGCCATCAGAGCTTGCAGACCCTGCTAAAGCTAAGGCTCCTGTTCAGGCTCATTTTGGAGAGCTTGATAGTTTCGTTGGCTTTTCAGATGTGACGGTACCGATTTTTTCTTATGCATCTTTTAGTCTTAATTATTTTAGTTACCTCCTAAAGCTTTTTGGAAGTTGTTTTTTCTGGGCTGAGTTGTTGACGCCTAATGGTTGTGAATTTGGGGCACGTGAGCATAGCATTGTATAGTTGAGACCGCAATAATCTTGGCCATTCATGTGCAATTGTATATGCCGTTGGCAATGCAGGCGTGTGCGCTCTTTATGCGCATAAGACGATTGTGCACCTGATTTGAGTGCTACGATGATTAAATTTCTGAATTACTTTGAGAAATATATCCTTAAACATACTAATGCAGAATTACTTATGTCGACATTTGGATCTTGATTTTCAGCCTGCCAAGTCTTTGGAGGAGAAGCTGAAAGCATCAGGAATCCCTTACGAGGTGCACATTTATCCCGGCAATGCCCATGCATTCATGAATAGGTCTCAAGAAGGTGCGAAGAGGAGGAAGGACATGGGATTGACTGATGAGGATGAAGCGTCATGTCAGTTGGCTTGGCCTCGCTTCCAGTCATGGATGTCTCGCTATTTGTCCGCTTAAGTTTTTGTTAGTGTAGTTTTATATATCTGACACTCCGACGTATGATGCTACTTTCCCGTTCCTACAATACGCAACAGGGTGTCCTATGCAGCCTTATGGACTATAGATAAGGTACCGTACTGGTACACTTGTAAGGTGTAACTACCTAACTTAATGGTTTGGCTCGCAATAATATTTGATCTTAGTGAGTTCTGGTGTCCTTAATGGTTTGGCTGGACTTATGGCCTTCACCATCACAGCTACCACCATCCAACCGCAGCCACCCATCACCATCATCACTACTACCTTCCCATGGCCATATCATCACCACCACCACGTTCTCATTGCATAACCGCTGACACCAACACATCACCACCTCTGCTATCGCCACATTGTCATGACCATTACACACATTGCCGCCGCCGCCTCTCCAACACCATCGATGCCGCCATCACCACTTCGACACCATCGATGCCACCACTATACCTCCACCTTCACCAGTGTTCCGATCCCACCATCAGCACCGACGCCACCACCATCACTAGCACGTGTCAACAACTCGTGTAGATTGATGAATATATATGTCCACATTAAACACGGTACAAAATATGTATACACTTTTAGGATTATCTAAATAACAAATTAAACAAATTTTAGAAAATCGAATTATGTGATTTTAATTTCCATAATTTTGGTGCTCTTAAAATTTCTCATATCCAATCGAAGGTAAATTTTGACTTCTTTCTGTTGTGTGGCACAACATGTATGTGACGGGGTAATGCGTGAGAAGTTGGAAAAATAAACGAAAAGTAGGGCAAAGGTTAGAAAAAAGCATGAGTGAGGTTTGAGCAAGTTGAGCAAAATGTTGAATGTTTGAATTATGGGAGAAGCAGACCCCTTAACTAATGCCTTGGACTCACTGCATACCAACAATCATATCTTAAACAAATGGAATGGAATGGACCACATCATCCATCCTTTTGTCACGAATGGATTTAACATGACTAATTGCAAAGGAAGATTTTCACGCTCCATTTTTAGTTTTTACACACTGTTTAATTTTGATCATTAGTCTCGTTTGATGTATTCAATCTAATAATTATAACTAAAGATGAATATGTGAGAAACTAAAAAGATGTGTGAAATTACTTCCCGTTATAATCTTTTGAAGAGAATGAGAGATGGTGATGGTCTTCACATGTTTCACGTGTCACCACTTGCATATGAATGTATTCACAAATACTTTCCTATGTCCAATAAGCACCATATAATACTGAAAAAATGAACCTTTTTAATATATGGATCTTGATAAAAAAAATCTACTTGAACCAATTAACTTGATTCCTAGCTATATGCAGATAAGAACCTAGACCTTCTTTAGGTCTTATCTTTATTTTTTATTTTTTTAGATAACCGTTTTGGCATTGCTAAACCCTAAACCCTAATTTAGGCATTCCAAGTTCCAACCCTAGCTTTTGGCTCTTTCAATGCCAGGTGTACAAATATTATGAAATACTTACTTTGGAGCTTAGAAGCTAAATGGGGGTGATAAACTCTTTATTTTCAATTAGTTTCAGGTGCTTAATGTCAAGCATACTTGGACATTTGTATCGTGTATAAAATTGACTAACTAAAAAAATTTGATCTTCAAATTATAATCTGACACATGAAAAAATGACCAACTAAAAAAATCACAAATAGATAAATTGTATTCTACACACTTGTTAAATTATAATTTATATGTAAGGAGTAATGACTGGTTACATATAAATCAAGTATTTTCCTTCATGGATCTAGCGTGTTAACAAGTCGTGAATGTGAGCTTGTGATGATGACCAACCAGTTGTCCAAGCCGGGAAATTATTGAGAAAATTAACACTTTTTTTATGCTGTGTCAAGAGCATTTATTTAATTTTATTTTACTAGGTAAGAATCGTGTGTTCTGGTTTTCGCAAAATTATTAACAAAATTAGTTGGATTTATGCCTAGCTAGTCATATATATAACCACAATTTCTTCGCCTTTCAACATCAAAATTAAACCTAAAAATATAATTTTTGTGTACAAATGCTTTGTCAACGACGGATCAAAATTTAACACCTTAATCAAATCTAAAACTTGTGAAATTTCTCATTGCGTGATGAGATGCAAATACAAGAGACTGTATCGCTTCTTAAACCCCCAAAGGATTTCTTCCAAAACCAGGTCATTCATAATAGGGTTGATTGCTTGTTTGTTCAAGCACACAAGTTCTAATCAATTTGAAGGGCAAGATTGATGAAAAAAATGGGGGGACAAGTTTGCTGTTACGTTGACAATAAATGATGGGCTACATAAAAAACTATTGACAATCTTATACTAATACGAAAGAAATGCACTCTCAGAGACTCAGAGATCAGCGGAGATCCATACATGATATTCATACATTAATACGTATAAAGAAAAGTATGCTTTGCGAATTGACTTTTTGTTCATATATATATATATATATATATATATATTAATTAAAGAAAAATATCCAGTCTTTAGTTACTAATTTTCATTGACTGAGATTTTATTAATTTTCAAATTTTGATTGAAGTCCCTATCAGAGCAACTCCAGTGTAGGAGCCCTCCCCCCAGGCCATTCGCTATTTAATCCACTCAGTGAACAGTAACTGCCCTTAATGAATAGTGCATTCCCCTGACAATTGCCTTTTGCATCTCCATCCCTGCACTGAATAGCCCTGGCAATTGGTAATAAAATATTATTATTATTTTATTTATAAAATATTATTATTATTTTATTTATAAATAATACATAATAATTTTATTTGTAATTTCAGATAAGATTTTTAATCGTTCTCATTGCGCCACTGTTTGGGCCCAAAATAATAGTTTGGGCCGAGTATAGAATCATTCTCGGCCCGGAAAGCCTTGCGATAAGAATACCATGGATCGTTCAAGTACGTGGGCCTCCAAACCTAGGTCGGCTAGGTCATAACGGAAGAAGTCGAGTCCTAGTGCAATAAGGAGTCTCGGCAGGACCCGGAAGTGAATCCGGTTCGGTTGAGGACTAGGTTCACAGTCCTAGTGAAAGTAGGACTGGTCGAATTGGTGCTGATCAGGAGAAGAAGACCTAGTCCGAGTAGGTTTTTACTCGACCTTGGGGGGAGCCATTGCTATAAATAAGAGAGGCTGCGCATCATTCAGGCCCCCTGCAAATCAATACAAAACTGCCTCGCGCAAACTCTCAACAACTTGAGATTTTTTTTCTTTCTTTTTCGCTGACACATCTTCCGTTGGCATCAACAGCACTGTGGAAGCAACCGGTGATATCTTAAGTCGGCATAGATAGCTCTGTCACCGTAGAATCAGCCGATCTCGCAGTATCTTCCGTTGGCATCAACATCACTACGGCGAGAACGGTTGATTACCTATCCAAGTCTCGGTCGAGGAGGATTTTCGGATCCTTATTGATTGAGGTCATTTCATTAGCCTTCTCGGCGAAGTGAGGTGTTATGGTATATCGAGCTCGGCGCTTTGCCCGCCGAGTTATTTTATGATTGGATATTCCCAAGTAGGATTTAGAGTTCGGCATTCGGACGGCCGAACCACGTTCACCATTAAAACTTATATTTGCTTTGAGTACTTGTGCCCTTACACTCTGGTGTCGATTTGGCGTGAGTTTACTCTGACGAATAACATGACTGTGACTGAATCCAACGACGACGACTCGTGAACTTCGTAAGAATAGTAACCTTGTCTTCAGGTTCGAGAGCTCCAGAGGTCGAGACGTGTTCCTTTCTCGGCCACAATCGCAAGACGCAGAAGTCAGTCGCGCACCCAACGCAACATCAACAAAATTTACTCCTCGGCCGAGCTCGGCCTACGAGTTGGCACGCCCCGCATTTACTAAAGGACGTAGTTAGCTTATAGATTACTCGGCTTGCGTGCCACGTAGGCTTGGTAGTTTCTAGGGTCAACATTTTGGCACGCCCAGTGGGACCCAGTGCTAGACTACGAAGTTCATGCCAATTGAAACACGATCGGTAAAAAAGAAAACAGCTATGGGAAAGTCGACAGCCGATCTACTAAATCAAAACGCAGGACACCATGTGCCACAAGCGCAGAATCCCATCAGCGCCGTGACACTTGAGTCCACGAGCGCAACTCGCCGAGAAAGGGAAGTTAATCTCGGCGGTCAGGTTCGCAGTCTTGAAATTCCCGACAGGAACACTTGCGTTCTCAATGAAGGAGTAATAGAAGATTGTGACGAAGATGGTGGCGAAGGATCCGATCCACCCACAAGGTCGTTTCTTCGAAAACGGCTTGACGAACAATCCCGGACAGTTGAACAGACATTGAGTCGAGGAATCGATAAGCTTCATGACGTGATACGCAATTCCAGTGAAGCACAAACCAGATTACTCGAGATACTAGTTAGTAAGGTCAGCGATGGTAGAATTTTCGATCTAGCCCAGCATTTGCCGCCGAGGAATAATCTGTTATCAAGTGCACCAGCCGAGCCAATTCCTGCTCGGCTCAGACCGCTTCAATTGGAAAGGGGATGAGGGTCGAATAGTAGGTCAGACGGATCCGACCAGAGAGCGGAAGTAACGCCCGTCGATATGACCGAAGTTCAACGGATGATCGATTCGGCCATGAAGAAAGGGCCGAAGTTCCCTAAGTTTATCCACTCGTATCCAGCTTACGTGGAACAGGTCGAATACCCTAGAGGTTTCAAGATCCCGGATTTTAGCCTTTTTGCCGGAGAATCATCCATATCCTCGTTAGAGCATGTAGCTCGTTTCACCGCACAGTGCGGAGACGTTAATAGTGACTTTCACAAGTTGTGACTTTTCAATTTTTCGTTGACCGGCTCAGCGTTCGCCTAGTATATTAACCTCCCACCGAACTCCGTCCAGAGTTGGGAAGAGTTGGTCGAGAAATTTCATAAGCAGTTTTATCGGCCGGGAATGGAAATGTCAGTATCCTCACTGGCAAGGATGGCTCAGACATCCGACGAGTCACCAATGGATTATCTTACTAGATTCAAATCAGCTAGGAATTGGTGCCGAGTACCTCTCCCCGAAGTTGAATTCGTCAGACTTGCTCTGAACGGTCTTGACGTCGAATACAAAAAGAAATTCTTGGGGGCAAACTTTCGGGATATGTACGAATTGGCCCAGCATGTCGAGCAGTATGATTATTTGCTCCGCGAAGAAAAGATTTCGAAAGCTCCATCTCGGGGGACGATTTACAATAATCCTACTGTCAGTTATGCATCGACCGAGGATGAATGTGTTAGTGTGGATGCAGCTGAGATAGTGATAGATAAGCCATACGTCTGCAAGGCACTGACTCAAGTTGATTCTAAGGAAGTCAAAACCCGCTCGGCTACTGAAGGAGCACTGAAACCGTCGAAAGTTTATACTTTTGATATAACAAAAGCCGATGCAATTTTTGATCAACTATTATCAGCAAGGATCATCAAACTTCGACCTGGGCACAACATTCCCAAGGCCGAAGAGCTTAAA